GCTGGATGTGTGGAGAATGCCAGGAGAGAGGGGAGGGTTTCGTGAGGTTCTAGGCAAGCCCTTTGAAGACGTCACCTCTCATACATAATGTTACAGCAGTCAGCACAGGCCTTCTGCTTTCCTATTGGCCAGCACCGTGTCAGCCGACATCAGAAGATAATCATCATTGGCTAGACAATTACAACTGGAGCAACTAGCGCTGCTGTTAGCACAAACCTGGCAGGCTGCTGAAAGAGAAGGCAGAGAGAGCCCAGCTTCCCTACTCACTCAATGAATTGTATGTCGCCTTACCAATCACCAGGTGATTTTGCTCCCTGGCTGGCAGCACTTCTAACTTAAGTTAGCCCTTAGTGAGAAAAACAGGTAAAAGCCAGACATCTCATAAAAGAGCAAAATGCCTCTATTTTCAATGTTGTAAAATTACAAAGACTTTTCAGTGTAAAATTGGAACTCAAAACTCCTATTTGGACCTATGAGCAGGCATTTTTCTCTACCTCATGTCATAAACTCTCATTTACCAGATAATATGACCCAGACAGGATATTTTTCACTGGACATGTAGTATCAAGATGAGGCCCAGGATGATTCTACAAGGAAATATACTTACTACTTTGCATTTCAATTGCTATTCTAACCGATTACATGTGAAACTATTTGCTAGCAAAGTAAAAAGTCTGCAGTATTTACTTTGATGGCTAGGCCAATGTGTATAAGGTTAATCATTCATTAGAGCAGCAATAAACTTTAGATAAACTAGCCTCAGTTGTACCCTTTAGTGTTTATACAAACGCGACTCTGAAAGTGGGCCCCCATTCCATGAATACATGCTATGGTCAGTAAGTACGGATTACAGGGTATGTTTCCATCAATTTGTGCTATGGTTAGTAAGTATGGATTATAGGATGTGTTTCCATTGATACATGCTATGACTAGTAAGTATGGATTATAGGGTATGCTTAATAAAGTATTATTATTTTAGGTCCTCTTAAATGAAGCGAGTTAGCAAAGACAGCATCCTGGCAAAATCTACTACTGGCCCTTCTCACAATTTTTCAAAAGTCACTGTAGCTTACACTTGAGAGAGATGTTTTAATTCTCTCAATTAACAAATTTTGCTTGATACTAAGAAGAGATTTATAAGGACAACCACAAATTCTCAAAAGACAGATAATAGAAGCTTCACTGTATCATATTTTTCCTCCAGAAGCTATTCCAAACCATTTTAAGTCAATGAGTCTGAAAAAGGTAAGATTTTGTGATTTCCTCGAGTTCCTCTGTCCTCAAGAGTGTCTAAGACTCGGTTATGGAGTTCCCTTCTGTTACAAAGGGAATGAAAAGAAAATCTAGTTCAAGACTTTTTGTCCTGCATCAGCTGGATTGTATTAAAAATAAAAATAACACATGTAAATAAAATTAATTTTTTGAGCAGCCAGGCTTGGTGGTTCACGCCTGATATTCCAACACTTTGGGAGGCCGAGGCGGGCGGATCGCCTGACGTCAGGAAGGAGTTTGAGACCAGCCTGACCAACATGGAGAAACCCTGTCTCTACTAAAAATACAAAATTAGCTGGGTGTGGTGGCGCAATCCCAGCTACTCGGGAGGCTGAGGCAGGAGAATTGCTTGAACCTGGGAGGCGGAGGTTGCAGTGAGCCGAGATGAAGCCACTGCACTCCAGCCTGGGCAACAAGAGTGAAATTCCGTCTCAAAAAAAACAAAATAAAAATTAATTTTTTGGGAGGAGGGGGTCGGAATATGGCTCTTGTTGCCCAGGCTGGAGTGCAGTAGTGCAACCTCAGCTCATTGCAACCTCGGCCTCCCTGGTTCAAGCAATTCTCCTGCCTCATCCTCCCGAGTAGCTGGGATTACAGACATGTACCACCATGCCCGGCTAATTTTTTAATATTTTTAGTAGAGTTGGGGTTTCACCATGTTGGCCAGTCTGGTCTCAAACTCCTGATGTCAGGTGATCTACCCACCTCAGCCTCCCAAAGTTCTGGGATTACAGGCATGAGTCACCATGTCCAGCTAGTAAACTTAAATTTTAAAAAATGTTTAAATACTTTTTGGGCCCGGCACGGTGGCTAACGCCTGTAATCCCAACACTTTGGGAGACCGAGGCAGGTGGATCACGATGTCGGACGGAGTTAGAATCCACCCTGACCAACATGGTGAAACCCTGTCTTGAAAAAAAGAAAAAGACGTTTCCGCTGTATAGTATTTGAGGACAGAGGAGAGTTATAAAATTGGGTCCCCAGGATATTGGGAGAAATGCACAAAATCTGTGCGCGCACGCACACACACACACAAAAGTAAGACAATTAGGGTCAGAAGAGTTGCGAGGAAGGGATAACAGCCAGCAGAGTTCTTTGACTGCAATAAGCCATCCAAGGATAGTAGAAGCCAGGAAGGGAAAAATCCCAAGATGTGACTCTGACACGGTATGCAAGTTCAAGCCAGTTAACCTTCGGGTATAACAAGTAGTGCTGGCGATAAAATGGGTACCAATCACCATTTCAACTCACTGGACATTTTCTCAAGGATATACTCTATGCAAAGCACTCTGCTAGGTGCTTTGCAGAATCAGGAGTGGGATAAGACAAGAACCGTGCCCTGAAGAGCTGATGATGGTCTGTAAGTGAATATCCATGTATAGAAATAAACGTCGGTAAAGGATATTGGCAGATAAAGAACTAGGAGGAAACAGTGGTCAAAGCCTAACAGGAGCAGATACGTTGGCACATTTTTGTCGTTTTCAGTCGCAGGAGGGCTACGACCTGTCTGGCTCAGTATTGACTGAATGGAGAGAAGAGGCGGGAAATGGTACTTGGAGCAGGTCTAGGCAGTGGCCTCAGAGAAAAAGCAAGTAAGTAAGAGGCAGTATCGACCGCGGTGGGGCTAGGAAGGGCGGGCGTACAGTGAATGGGGTCAGCCGGCAAAGCGAGGGAAAGCAGTCTCCGGAAGAGCAGGTTAAGCCAGGTTGCAGCAAGTCAGAGATTCGGCAGACAGAAGGAAATGCAGAGCACACAGGCTAAAGTGGGAGGACGGTGGGCCCGAACAGGGTGGCTAGGGGATAGGACAAACCGCTTCGCAGAAGACCCGGGCCCCGGGCTAGGCAGCCGCGCGGTTCCGGCACCCGCCGGCTCGGGCCACCGCCCCCTCCCCGCCTCCAGCGCCACCCTCTAAGCGCGAGGAGGAAGTGCATCCAGAGAAGGATCCCGGGCGGCGGGGCTCCAGGGGACTCGGCTGCCCCGAAACGCCGAGGCCTCTCCTAGTGGAATGTGCGGGCTCGACCCGCGGTGTCCAACCTTCTCGCGGACCCGCCCCTGCAGCCCCCGGCCTCGGCGGCCCGGGAGGGCACCAGCCCCGTGCCCATGTGGCGGCCCCACTTCCAGTCCTTCCGATCGGCTCGCGTCCCGCCTCTTAGTCTCTGACTCTGGCCAGACGCGGCCCTCGGGCCTGTGGCCCAACGCCGCCGCCAGCCACGGCGCAGCTCACCCCCAGCAGGCTGGCCCAGCCGGTGCGCGCGGCCCAGGGGGCGGGCTCCGCCCTGCAACCGCCGCGAATGGCCATTGGGGCCCGGGCCGGCCCGCGGGAAGCTGGGAGTGGGCGCGCTCCAGCCGGGCGTGAGGACAAGGGAGCGGCGGCCTGGCCTCCCGACGCTGGCCGGCGACTCCAGGGGGCCGGAGGGCAGGCAGGAAGTTGAAACCCCCTTTTCCCAGGTGCGGCCCCGTGGCACCGGCTCCTACTTCACCAACCCGCCCCAGCTCCGGGCGCGCCGGCGTTTCTGGTTTCCCACTGAAGAGGGCAGGCAGGGAGGGCACGGGGTACGCGTGCTCGCACACGCGGCGGGCGGAATCCCCCGGCGCCAGGGAGACCCTGCGGCCCGACCCTCCCGATCAAGCCACCTTCGGGGCTGCGGACTCCTAGCCCAGCTCCCGGGGGCGTCGGGCTTGCAGTTTACAGATCGCCAGACCCGAAGTTAAAGGGAGTAGGGGAATGCCTCTGCCACAACCCAGTCTCCAAGAAGCGAGATGAGCACACCCTCCTCTGTTAAATATTGCAAGGTGACACTGGATCGCCTCCCACACAGATATTTTCAAAAGGACTGGCGGAGGAACTACAGTAAATAAGAAAGGTGTTTTCCCTGATTCTTAGTTTTCTGGGGAAGAGCCCCTCCACCCCTAAGGACTCTGCAGACCGAGGGGCTTTTAATCTATGTGCCTGAACTCCAATCAGCAGCTACGCACAAAATTAGAAGTGAGTGTGTCCAAAAGGCGTTTCCGTAAAACAGAAACTTAATAATGGCGTGGCTCCACTCGCTCGGGTTCATTCATTTATTACTGTTTTCATTGTCCCCTCCTCTCCTCCCTCCCACCCCGTCTCTCTATGAAACCGGAAAGGGATCCGCGTGGGGAAAGGGGTACTAGAAAGGGGGCATCCGGCCGGCCGGGGAGCAGCAGACACAGGAGGATAGTGAAGTAGGAGCGCTGCAAGGAGAAAGGAAGGACACGAGGGATGGGGAGATGGCGAGGACCAGGGCCAAGGGCGGCGGGCGGGAGAGGGTTAAAGGGAGCAGGAGACAGGGTCCTCCCTCCACTGCCTTTCACACTCCGGTTGCGGGAGGCCGAGCGAGAAAACCCAAATCTAGATGAAAACCGGGGTGGGGAGGGTAGCACAGGTAGGCGATCTGGACTGTGGCATCTCTCCCGCCTTCCCTGTCGTGCAGACATCACTCTATGCACACATATATGTTCTATGTTATATAATCTACATAAAAGATGCCTGTGTAGCCGCGGTTCACACAGGGGCACCCACAGACCGCGCGCTTCGTGCACCCCCAGCGTCTTCTGCACCCGGGAGACCCGAGAAGTCAGTGATCGGCTAGCTGGCCGCGATTCATCGCTCCATTCACGCCCGGGCGGGGAATACCGACATTAAGGCACTCCCGGGAAGACGCGCAGGGCTCCCGGGAACAGTATCAGGCGAAAGCATCACGTACCAGTTTTCCTGCATCCATTGGATGGCTTCATTCTCGTTGAACTGCTTTTCGAATTCATATTCTTGTAAAGTCAACACTGACATGTTCATTGGGGCTGATCTTCGGAGTCGCTACGTGTTCTCTGAACAAAACAAAATAATCTGTAAAGCGCTAGGTTTCAAGTGCTCTCCTGTCTGCTTCCCCCACCCACCCCCCTAGGTCTTCCCCACGCCGCTCGGTCTCCGGCGGTCGTCTCTCTCCCTGCCTCTTAGCTACATCCAGGGCTGAGCATTGCCTGCGCCTCAGCTCCCAGCTCCTCTCTCTGGGGCTCTCCTCCTCCCGGCGTCCGCATCCACCGTAGGAGGAAATGAATGCCTTGCGGTCTTAGTGCCCGCACGTTTGTCCATCACCCTTTTTACTCGTCTACAGGGAAATCTCCTCCCCCTCGTGCGATCGGAAAAATTAACCCTTGGTGAGGGAGTGTAGGAAAGAGCGCGACCTCTCTCCGCCCTGGGGGCAGTTTTGTTTAAGGCGAAGGTGGGTGGAGTGGGGGAAGGGCGCAGAGCGAGAGGAAGTGGCCTGGAGGTCATCCAGATCCCCCAAGCCCAACCTCGTGGGCCGCCTTGCTTTGAATGAAGTTTCGGCGTCTGGGGCTCAGCCCCGCGGCGCGTGGATCCGAGAGCTTGGCGAGTAAACGATTGGGAAATAGTAAAGCCTGCCAGCTCTCTTGCAAGAGAACTCGGAGCAAATCTGCTTTGAGATTATCAGTGAAGGGAATGAGCTTCCCACGTCCTCGCCCAACCTCTGGGACCACTCCCACCCCTACCCTGGAGCTCTGGCTTTGATTCATGCTAACCAGGCCCTGCGGTCTGCAGAGCACCTTAATCTCGTGCAGACTGGGGATGCTGAGTTTGATAGTGGACAGGCAAGAGAGGCTAGTAGCCGGAAGTGGAAGAAAGGGCTGGGAGATGGTTAAGTGGACGGTTTAGATACAGGGAATGAGAGGATTAATGAACAGAGGCAGAGTGGAGAAGGGAGTTAACAGACAGAAGAACAGGACCGACTGGTCAAATGCAAAAACTTTATTTGCATGCATGATAAATTTTGCTTTATTTACCGTATATATATATGTAGAACAAAATGATATGTGAGAAGAGGGCTGAATGTAATGTTGACCCCTACTGAGCCCTCGGCCTCCAAAAGGAAAAACTATTTTCTACTCCATCCATCCCTCCACTCATTTTCCCCAAAAGTTTGAAAAAATGAAATATGAGACAAGGAGGTATCTAATAATGTAATTATAAGCTTTACAAAATAATAAGGAACTCATGCTTTTAAAAATTAGGTGAACATTTGGACCAGAAAGAGAATTCCCTTTCTGAGAACATCTCCCCACCTCCCTAGTAGTCCAAAAAGGGCACTTTGATTCAATTTAGATGCCTCTAACTAAAAGTGGGAAGTGGGAGAAAATTTTTTAAAGTAGGAGGAAGGGGTCAGGTGTGGTGGCTCCCGGCTGTAATCTCAGCACTTTGGGAGGCCAAGGCAACATGATCACCTAAAGTCAGGAGTTTGAAACCAGCCTGACCAACATGGTGAAACTCTGTCTCTACTAAAAATATAGAAATTAGCTGGTGTGGTAGCATGCACCTGTAATCCCAGCTACTTTCAAAGCTGAGGTAGGAGAATCACTTGAACCTGGGAGACAAAGTTTGCAGTGAGCGGAAATTGCGCCACTGCACTCCAGCCTGGGCAACAGAGGGAGACTCTAACAAAAAACAAAAAACAAAAAACAAAAAACAAAAAACAAAAAAAAGAGAGAGAGAGAGAAAAGAAAAAATAAAAGAGGAGGGTATAATGAGAAAGTACAGAAAAAATTTTTTAAATCCAGTACAATATATAGGTCAAAGGCTAGCCTACTTGACGAATAGCAAATTAATGTATAAATTGACACTCTCAAAGGTTGTCAATTAAATTTCTTTCTCTTTCTTTCTTTTTCTTTCTTTTTTTCCCTTCCTTCTTTCTTTCTTACTTTCTTTCTTTCATGGCCTGTTACCCAGGCTGGAGTACAGTTCACTGCAAACTCTGCCTCCCAAGTTCAAGCAATTCTCCTGCATCAGCCTCCCCCGCAGATAGATTACAGGCAAGCACCAACACACCCAGTTAATTTTTGTATTTTTAGTAGACAGTTTCACCATGTTGGCAAAGCTGGTCTTGAACTCCTGACCTCGTGATCCACCTGTCTTGGCCTCCCAAAGTGCTGGGATTATATGCGTGAGCCACCATGCCCAGCCAAGGCTTGCCTTTCTAGAGACCTCTACAGTACAAGTCTACTTCACTTTGAAGTAAGGCCCAGGCCAAAACTCTTGGCAAGATTGGGCTGTGGCCAAATGAGAGATAAAGATTTTAGCACAGTGCCTGGGCCTGTGAATAATCAATAAATATTTGTAAAGTGAATCATTGATCAGATAAATGAAATAAGGTAGGAAGTGAGAAAGGAATCAAGACAGAAAATCCACTTTGGGAGGCCAAGGTGAGAGGATTGCTAGAGACCAGCCTGGGCAACATAGTGAGGCCCCATGTCTACAAAAAATTAAAAATTAGCTAGGAGTGGTGGTACATGCCTGTAATCCCAGCTACTCTAGAGGCTGAAGTGGGAGAATGGCTTGAGCCTGGAAGGTCAAGGCTGCAGTGAGCCATGATCACATCACTGCAGTCCAGCTTGGGTGACAGTGTGAGATCTTATCTCAAAAACAAACAAGCTGCGCGGGGCACGGTGGCTCAAGCCTGTAATCCCAGCACTTTGGGAGGCCGAGGCGGGTGGATCACGAGGTCGACAGATCGAGACCATCCTGGTCAACATAGTGAAACCCCGTCTCTACTAAAAGTGCAAAAAATTAGCTGGGCCTGGTGGCACATGCCTGTAATCCCAGCTACTCAGGAGGCTGAGGCAGGAGAATTGCCTGACCCCAGGAGGCGGAGGTTGCGGTGAGCTGAGATCGCGCCATTGCACTCCAGCCTGGGTAACAAGGGCGAAACTCCGTCTCACTGCCCGTGACTGTGAAAACTGGTGACTCTATATGGAAAGCAATTTGGCAGCCTTTATGATAATTTTATTTGTTTACTTACTTTTTATTTTTTGACATTTGGACAGGTTTATTGAAGCTGGACAACTTCAGGTTACAGGCTGTGTGACTCTCCAACCATGAGTCTTCATCACCAAATGGGATAGATGAACATCTGTTCCATCTGCAGTATAATTTGGCATAAAGCTGCAGCCACAAGTGGGCTCTGCTGCTGGATATGGATCAGGCTCTCTGGAGCGTCTCTTTGTACATGTGACCTTCACAGAACATTGCCTTGCATTTTCTGTTGACCAGGCCTGTCTTATCTTCGTCAAATTCTTCTCCAACTTTAAATTTTACAAAGTAGTTCCTTAGGCAGCTGCTCATGAAGATGATAGAAGAATCCTTATTCTGCTCAATCACTTTCTGTAGCTTCAGCAACTTGGCAAAGTTAATTCCAAGCAGTCCTGAGAGAAGCGATTGCTGGTGATGATTCGCACCTCAGGATCACACTTCGTGATTTGCACCTCTGCGTCTCTGCAACGCTGGTGGCCTTTTATCCCTACTTGTTATCTCCTGGTCGTGAGCTGGCTGCTGGGTTCCCAGCCAGGACATCCACATTCAAGGTGGGGAAAAGGGAAGGTAGAACAGACCATTAACCCTACAGCAGAAACCTCCCCATTTCCTTAAGTCTGGGTAGTTGGAAAAAAGGAAAGGAGAGAAGAGAAGAGAAAAAAGGGGAAACGAAGGAAAGAGACAGGAGGGGAGGGGACTTATTTATTTAATTTTTAGAGATGGGGCCTTTCTATGTTGTCCAGGCTGAACTGGAATGCCCACCTCAGCCTCCCTGGATGCCTAGCTAGGACTATAGGCACCCAGCATATATCACAATTTTAAATCCACACCATTAATTCATCAGAATTTTTTTTTTTTTTAATTTGAGATGGAGTCTCCCTCTGTTGCCCAGGCTGGAGTACAGTGGCGCAATCTTGGCTCACTCCAAACTTAGCCTCCTGGGATCAAGCGATTTTCCTGCCTCAGCCTCCTGAGTAGCTGGGATTACAAGCATGCGCCAGCATGCCAGGCTAATTTTTGTATTTTATGTAGACAGGCTTTCGCCATGTCAGCCAGGATGGTCTTGAACCTCTGACGTCAGGTGATCTGCCTGTCTTGGCCTCCCACAGTGCTAGGATTATAGGTGTGAGTCACCGAGCCCTATTTACCAGATATTTTTTTGAGTACATACTCATCTGAGTTCTTGGAACTCACAAATGAGATAAACAGGGCTCTTGCTCACTTGGAGCTCACATTTCAGAAGGGAAGACAAAAGGTTGCGGTGAGCCGAGATCCATCATTGCACTCCAGCCTGAACAACAAGAACAAGAGTAAAACTCTGCCAAAAAAGAAAGAGAGAGAGAAAGAGAGAGAGAGAGAGAGAGAGAGAGAGAGAGAGAGAGAGAGAGAGAGAGGAAAGAAAGAAAGAAAGAAAGAAGGGAAAGAAGGAAGAAGGAGAAAAACATCTCATTGTAATGGTGGGGGGAAAAAGAGGAAAACATGTAATGTTGGATGTGGTGGCTCACACCTGTAATGCCAGCAATTTGGGAGGCCAGGGCCAACTCCTTGAGCCCAGGAGTTCGAGACTAGCCTGGTCAACCTAGTGAAACCTCGTCTCTACAAAATAATAATAATAATAATTAAAAAGAAAATAAGGCTGGGCATGGTGGCTCACACCTATAATCTCAGCACTTTGGGAGGCTGAGGCAGGTGGATCACAAGGTCAGGAGTTTGAGACCAGCCTGGCCAATATGGTAACACCCTGTCTCTACTAAAAATACAAAAATTAGCCAGGTGTGGTGTAGTCCCAGCTCCTCGGGAGGCTGAGGCAGAAGAATCCCTTGAACCCAAGAGGTAGAGGTTGTAGTGAGCTGACATCACGCCACTGCACACCAGCCTGGTGACAGACTCCATCTCAAAAATAAATGAATAGATAAAATAAAAAATAATTAGCCAGGTGTGGTGGCACAAGCCTGAGGTCCTGAGCCATGTTAGTGTTACTGCATTCCAGCCTAAGGCAACAAAGCAAGACACTGTCTAGAAAAGAGAAACATCTGGCCGGGTGCAGTGGCTCTCGCCTGTAATCCCAGCACTTTGGGAGGCTGAGGCGGGTGGATCACTAGGTTGGGAGTTCCTGGCCAACATGGTGAAACTCCATCTTAAAAAAAAAAAAAAGAAAAGAAAAAGAAAAGAGAAACATCTACACTGTACTTTCTTTTTTTTTTTCTGGAAAGACAAACAAGAATTAATTGGTGATGTATACATTGAAGAAAGACCCAAGAGAAAACAAATGAGAGTTTCTACACTTAATTTTTTTGTAGTACCAGAATTTTCTTACCATGTACTTGATTTCATTTTAAAAAAAGAAAAAAAAATCAACAGGAATACCTGAGCTGTGAAATAATGAGTCACTTTTCTATTTGTAATTTTCTGTACTGAATAACTTAACATGTAACATAGTATTAGAAGCTAAACATTTTAAATGGCAATTTTCTAGACTTATTTTCAACTACAAGACAGACAGTAAGGTTAGGAAAGATGGCAGGTCCTGCTGAGCAGTCTAGGAAAAAAAAATGAAATTTAAAAAAAAAAAAAAAGGAAAGCTTTGCGCAGTGGCAGTATTGTATGTAGCCAATGAGGTTTATCCGAGGCATGATTATTGCTAATTGAAAACTTTTCCCTACACCCTGCCGTGATGACTTGCAGTATAGTCGGCACTGGCAAACTTTGACAGTCTCTATGGAGACTGATTTTTCTCAAAAAAGAAAAAAGAAAAAAAAAAGGAAAGATGGGAGGGAATGTTGGGAGGGTGCCCAGCAACACCACTAAGAATTTTTATGAAAAGATTTATTGTGTGTGTTTCTAAGCCATACTAGGTAGGTAGCTAATATTGAATATAAATAACTGGGGCTCAAAAAGTAACAGTTAATTTATATTTAGTAGTAAAATTTAAAAAATTTGGAAGGCAAAAGTGGGCGGATCACAAAGTCAGGAGTTTGAGACCAGCCTGGCCAACATAGTGAAACCCCATTTCTACTTAAATTACAAAAAATTAGCTGGGCTTGGTGGCAGGCACCTGTAATCCCAGCTACTTAGGAGGCAGAGGCAGGAGAATCACTTGAACCTGGGAGGCAGAAGTTGCAGTTAGCCAAGATTGAGGCATTATACCCCAGCCCAGGTGACAGTTTGAGACTGTCTCAAAAAAAAAAAAAAAAAGACTTAAGCTCGAAGAGAAGGAGTATTGGAAATTGGAAAGACAAAGATTTACTGCAAAGATGACTTGACTATTACACAAAACATCCAGACTTTAGTTCTGGCTCTTTTACAGACTTAGCTATCTGACTTTAGGGAAAGTAATCTGATATTTTAACTTGTTTTTCTTTCCTTTTTTTTTTTTTTTTTTTTTTTTTAAATTTGTTTTTTGAAACAGTCTGGCTTTGTTGTCTAGGCTGGAGTACAGTGGTGTAATCATGGCCCACCTCATCCTCGAACACCTTGGCTCAAGTGAACCTCCTGCGTCAGTTTCCCAAGTAGCTGGGACTACAGACACCCACCACCATGCCCTGCTCATTTTTAAAAAACTGTTTTGTAGAAATGGGTTCTGCCATGTTGGCCCAGGCTGGTCCCAAACTCCTGAGCTCAAGTGATCCTTCCACCTCAGTCTCCCAAAGTGCTGGAATTACAAGGCATGAGCCACCTCACCCAGCCTAATTTTCTTTCTATACATAAAACAGTGCTATGCTGGAGGATCTTCATACCAGTCTTCTTTTTTGTGACATACGAATATGTTAAAATACACCTGCATTGTTTTTGGAATCTTCTAACACTAATCTGCTTTTCCAGGCCTCTCTAGGCCGACTCCAACCAAACTGAACCACTTGATGTCATCTGACCACCTCAAACTTTGCTATCTCTGCTGCGTTTCTCCAGCAATTCCCCCTGCTTGAGAACCCCACCCATCCCATTTCTACCTGTCAAAATCAGTCCACTCTTTGGATACTTACAAATTACTCCCTACTTAAAGCCTTCCCTGTTCACAGAGACAGTTTATCTCCTTTGTCCCCTAAACTCTATGAACTGGTAGGGGGATACAAATAAACCTATCCTATAAAACGTATTATGTCAACAAACATTCCTTATTAATCTTGGAGAGGTTTGAAGGACATGTAAAATACATCAAATATTTTATGTAAATTAGAGGAGTGCAAATTATTACATAAAAAGAGACTCACATCCCAATGTAGATACCTGTAAAAGTTTAACTAAGGCCGGGCGCGGTGGCTCACGCCTGTAATCACAGCACTTTGGGAGGCAGAGGCTGGTGGATCACGAGGTCAAGAGATCGAGACCATCCTGGTCAACATGGTGAAACCCAGTCTCTACTAAAAATACAAAAAATTAGCTGGGCATGGTGGCACGTGCCTGTAATCCCAGCTACTCAGGAGGCTGAGGCAGGAGAATTGCCTGAACCCAGGAGGCGGAGGTTGCGGTGAGCCGAGATCTTGCCATTGCACTCCAGCCTGGGTAACAAGAGTGAAAAAAAAAAAAAAAAAAAAGTTTAACTACATGAACCATGAATACAACAGTTAAGAGGAACAAATTGGGTTTTTAAAAAAATATAAGATGGAAATGTGACAGGCAGTTTAAAGTCCAGTTTTACTCTGGAGTTTTCATAACACTGTGAGCACGTGCTTTCATCACTGAAAATAGTTTCTTCCAGAAACCTGAAGTTTGTGAGTTAAAAATTTCTTTTTGGCTGGGTGCAATGGCTCATGCCTGTAATCCCAGCACTTTGGGAGACCGAGGCAAGTGGATCACCTGAGGTCAGGAGTTTGAGACCAGCCTGACCAATATGGAGAAACCCCGTCTCTACTAAAAATACAAAATTAGTTGGGCGTGGTGGCACATGCCTGTAATCCCACAACTCAGGAGGCTGAGGCAGGAGAATCGCCTGGACCTGAGAGGCAGAGGTTGTAGTGAGCTGAGATCGTGCCACTGCACTCCAGCCTGGGCAACAAGAGTGAAATTCTGTCTCAAAATAAATAAATAAATAAAAATTTATTTTTCTTTCTTTCTTTCTTTCTTTGAGATGGTATTTCACTCTGTCTCTCAGGCTGGAGCGGAGTGGCGTGATCTTGTTTCACTGAAAACTCCGCCTCCCAGGTTCAAGCTATTCTCTTACCTCAACCCAGCTAATTTTTGTATTTTTAGTAGAGACAGGGTTTCACCATGTTGGTCAGGCTGGTCTTTAACTCCTGACCTCGAGATCCACCCACCTAGGCCTCCCAAAGTGTTGGGATTACAGGTGTGAGCCACCTCGCCTGACCAAATTAGGGATTTCGCTTTGATGGTAGCTCACACCTGTAATCCCAGCACTTTGGGAGGGTGAAGAGAGTGGATCACCTGAGATCAGGAGTTTGAGACCAGCCTGGCCAACGTGGTAAAACCCTGTCTCTACTAAAAATACAAAAAAATTAGCTGGGCATGGTGGCAGGCACCTGTAATCCCAGCTACTCAGGAGGCTGAGGGAGGAGAATTGCTTGAACCTGGGAGGCAGAGGTTGCAGTGAGCTGAGATTGTGCCACTGCATTCCAGCCTGGGCGACAAGAGTGAAACTCCACCTCAAATAAATAAATAAATAAATAAATAAATAAATAATAAATAAATAAATAAGAGCTAGTGAGTGATGGAGAGCTACTGCGGTCAAGGGAATTAATTTGTCTTGGCACCTGGGGACTCAGGGCCTCTCAGGCAAAGGAATGGTTTAGATTATGAGCTTCTATCTGTCTTGTGCTTTCTTCATTTCTGATGTATTCCGATGTACTTCCTCTATACACATTCAATACACAAAACTATTAGGTAGTACAAAAATGTATTTGCAATATAAGTGAAAACCTAAAGAACTCTATTTGAGAATGAAAGCAGATTTCTCATTGTTGCTTTTAAGATCTTAGTGCCCCTAGGGGACAACTGAGCAATCTGCATAAGAAGGGAAACCCAGAATGTTACTTTTACTTTAATTACCAAGATCTCTTTTGTTCTCTACTTACGTATATGTGTTTTAATGAACTGACTGTTGGGTAGTTGCATTTACTCCTTATTTATGTTAATAAAAAAGAAAAAATGCGTAGAAAATATGTAATGATGAAATGTGATACTTGAATTACAAAGAATTGATACTTGAATTACAGGCCCACTTTTGCTGTCCCTCTATGTTGGGGACTATGGATGAGGCCTCAAGAAAGGCATTGGCCCCAGTGGGCCACCTTTCCCACCATGATCCAGCCTTCACCATCAGAGGCATCAGATGGACATCATGACTGGAGCTTCAGATAAGCAGAGAGTTGACTATTGTGTAAGGTTTAAGAGGCTCTTTTAACACCTTGTAATGTGACCATATAATAGTGAACACCAATTAAACTCCTAGACTAGCCTTTCAGTTCGTTCCAGGCCAGGTAATTTAAATGGAAAAAAAAAGCATCATATTTTTTATTATATCAAATGACTGAAAATTCTTTCCATCTAGTTTCAGTATTACGAAGAATTGTGTCATCTTGAGTAATTGATCTATTATAAAGAATACTGTCGGCCGGGCACGATGGCTCACGCCTGTAATCCTAGCACTTTGGGAGAATGAGGTGGGTGGATCATCTGAGTTCAGGAGTTCAAGACCATCATGGTGAAACCCCATCTTAAAAAAGAAAAAAAAAAAAAAAAAAGGCCGGGCACGGTGGCTCAAGCCTGTAATCCCAGTACTTTGGGAGGCCGAGGCGGGTGGATCATGAGGTCAAGAGATCAAGACCATCCTGGTCAACAAGGTGAAACCCCGTCTCTACTAAAAATACAAAAAATTAGCTGGGCATGGTGGCGTGTGCCTGTAATCCCAGCTACTCAGGAGGCTGAGGCAGGAGAATTGCCTGAACCCAGAAGGCGGAGGTTGCGGTGAGCCGAGATCGCGCCATTGCACTCCAGCCTGGGTAACAAGAGCGAAACTCGGTCTCAAAAAAAAAAAAAAAAAAAAAAAAGAAGAAAAAAAAAAAAGAATACTGTCAGCCTGGGCAACATAGGGAGATCTCATCTCTACAAAGAAAGAGAAATTATCTAGGTGTGGTGGCAAAAGCTTGTAGTCCCATTCAGGCTGAGGTGGGAGGATTGCTTGAGCCCAGGAGGTTAAGGCTGCAGTGAGCTATGATTCTGCCACTGCACTCCAGCCTGGGTGACAGAGTGGACCCCGTTGAAAGAAAAAAAGGAAAAAGGAAGGAAGGGAGGGAGGGAGAGAGGAAACTGATCCATGTCTTCATTGTTAGAACTTGGAAGCAAATCTGTGACTTATCCTTGTGGCAAATATTTAATTTGTGTGTGTGTGTGTGTGTGTTTTTTTTTGTTTTTTTTTTTCTTCCGAGACGGAGTCTTGCTCTGTCTCCAGGCTGGAGTGCAGTGGTATGACCTCTGCTCACTGCAACCTCCATAGCTCAGGTTCAAGTGATTCTCCTGCCTCAGCCTCCCAAGTAGCTGGGACTACAGGCATGCACCACCACACCCAGCTAATTTTTGTATTTTTAGTAGAGACAGGGGTTTCACCATGTTGCCCAGGATGGTCTCGATCTCTTGACCTCATGATCTGCCCGCCTCAGCCTCCCAAAGTGCTGGGATTACAGGCGTGAGCCACTGAGCCCGGCGAAGTTTAGCTTTATATAACACACATTTTTAACTTCATTGCTCTTCTCCTTATACTGTTACCTTAAT